ATTTCTTGATACATATTGATCACCGTATGCTGTGTAGAAAGTTTGCGTCGATTCAGAGCTCGACTTTTCAAGTTACGGCCATCTTAAAAAACTCTAAAATTCTGAAAAGTACCCAAGGCTATAGCCCATGGTTTTTCCAAAAGATGGTTCCAAAATTATCCAAAATTTTTATTGCATTTTCTAATACATATTGATGCTTTTATGCTGTGCAGAAAGTTTGAGCTGATTCTGAACTTAACCTTTTAAGTTACAGCCATTTAAAACTTCAATTTTAGATTTATAGGGACAAGAATGGCTATAAAATGTAATTGCTACAAAATGCTATTGCTACATGTACATATTATGAATGTACTTAATTAAATGTATTTCTTACTCAATTGTTGGAGACTTTGCTTGATCAGGGGCGGATCCAGGATTTTGCAAATGGGGGGGGGGGTTGAGAGATAAAATGGCGCACGAAGCGCGCTGAAATTTTGGCCACGCCCCTTTTCGGCACTATTTTGTGGTTAAAATCACGTGAAAATCAACTTTTCTACCATTTTTGGAGCTCATTCTTTGTTAATTATATTCATTAACCACAGTAATGTTGCTATATAAACTAGGTGGTTAGCACTTTCACCACTGTTGCAACAATAAAAACATTAAAATTTTTTTGAGTTAGAATGTTTTGGGGGGGTTGCAACCCTACAAACCCCCCCCTAGATCCGCCCCTGTTGATGGGACGGAACTTTGACACATTTCATTAATTTCATTTTTAATTTTCATCTTCTCATTCTCAATTTCTATGATATGACATTAGGATGAGTAGTTATATAGAGAGGTGAGTGGAGAGAGAAGGGGAGAGAGAGTTGCTGTCATACAATTATAAAACACAAATAGTTAATTAACTACTTCCATAAATTAAAGGATAATAGGATTGCCATTTTCCTTTTGTCTCCAGAGTTCCTCAGTTTCTCGTTTCCCAAAATCATAACTCTTGAGTTGATCTGTACCTAAAAATGAAGAGAAATTGAGAATAAAAATTTAATTAATGCTAGTCTACATCAGTTCACATAATAACATAAACTCACTTTTTTGGTGTATTGTAGGGTTTTGATACTTTTCAGATTGTATCAATGCTGTAATCAGGCTGGATTCATTGATTTTGTGTGCTGTGTTGTGTACATGCTCTTGCTATGCTCTTGCATGCATATGCCGACCCAGCCCCACCTTTGTAACTACATGACCACGTGCCACACCTCTTTTGACCCCACCCTAAAAAGTAGACAGAGCAGCAAAACTAAAAAAGTAAAGGAGAGAGAAGGTCGTTGTTGTTCGGTTTTAGTCTTGTTCTGAGGATCTGGCCTTGAGGCAGCTTCTTTAATTGAACTATGGCCGCTAGCCAAACCTGTTTAGGTAAAGTTGATTCGAGTTGATTGATGATGTGAAATCAGCCATTTTACTTTTGACCTAGATATTAGTGACTTGGATTATGTTCTTTGTTTATTGGAGAAATGTTGCTTCCCAGAAACAAAATGGTATAATTTTGGACTGAGACTAGGACTAAGGAAGAATACACTGGACATCATTGAAGCACAGCATCGTGGTGATGTGCCTCGCTGTATGACAGAGTGCCTCTCCCAATGGTTAGGTAGAGCTGGCAATGTTGACAGTAGAGGAGGAGCCAACTTGGACTCACTGTCAGATGCTCTAGGATCTATGAATGAAACTGCTGTCGCTGAGAAGTTAAGTGAGTCAACCATAACTGTATGTAACTATAATCATTGTATTTTCTATCATAGAACATCAGGTTCTTATTAATATTTTTAATAATCGTCATACTGTCCTGTCTCAGTCTCTTTGTGATCCTTTTGCTTTATCTCAGTTACTTTATGGCGAACATATGTTAACACAAGAAGCAGTTAGTAGAGTGGTGTCAGCTAGTCCCTCTATTCCTAATCAACGTGAGGCTCTATTAACTGGTGTCAAAGAAGCTGTTCAAACTGATCCCAACAGTTTACATACATTTGCTAATGTATTGTGTACAATCAGTACTAATGTATCACTGGGACAAGCTATACTGGATGATATTAGTGAGTATCATAATGTAATCACTGCATCTTTTCCTGTAATTAAATTCATAGTTGATTCCTATTACATAGATGAAGCTGATGTGGGTGGCCACTATTATTCATTATTGTTAATGAATTTATTCAGTTATGAGGTGATATGTGCATGTGCATGTAGGTGGAAACATGAATGTAGTCTATTTAGTCCCACATAGCTATAGTCGGTTCAAGTTGAGTTGCCCAAGTACCACCCCTTATAACTTTTTTATTACTAATGCTAGCAACCTGAAACTTGGTATAGTTGCATAACAGGTTCTTCCGAAAATCTGTACCAATTTTTGAATCTCTAGGTATTCTGGAAGGTTCTGAATAGGTTCTTCTGCTCTAGTTCAAAGGGAGCTGCCATGATAAATCATTACGTTCACGCTACATCACAGTCGTGAATATCATTTGCATTTCATTATTATTATTTATAAAATAGAAGCAAACAGATAAGGTCGTCTAGAGAAGCTGGTATTCAACTAGCAGATCTTGCTACTGGAACCATACTGCTATATCCATCTACAGCCTTCTTGATTCTAGTTATTCTTCATCACCCTCAACCTAGGTTGCTATCTTTTGTATCCGAGGTCTTTGTCAGCTTTATAACAGAAAAAGTGATAATTATCCATAGCAAGGATAAAAAAGGCAGCAAAATGTCTTAAAGGTAAAGAAACGCTCAAGAAAAGAGCTTGCTTGCACAGTGCCACCATTTTTAGGTGTGGCTACTAATGATGTTTTGATGATGCAAAATTTGATTTATTTCCTTTGCCAACTCAACTTGAACCGACTATAATGTCTAATTGGGGCGAGCCTGAGCTTGCCCCACTCTAGCTATACTCTCAGTCATACCCCGTCTGTCCTCATACATCACCCCTATTTATGCGTATATACGGTAGATCCATGCATTACCAATGCAATATTCAATTTTTCATTGAAAGTGGGAGTGGTCAATTAAAAAATAACATGATAACCAACACACAGGAAAAAATCTAGCAGCAATATAAGACAGTCTAGGCAGGTACACTGCCCAAAGACTTCTCCAGCAGCTAGAAAATGGCTTTGGATTCAATTAAAAGCTATGAAGCTCGATGCAATTGCTATAGAAACTGTAAAAGTCAATCAAGCTTCTTCTCATCTTATGTTATTTGATAATATTACATCTAAAGCTAAGTAAATCAGCTTTACAGACATATTTAGGCAAGAAATATGTATGTTGAACTAGGAGACTAAAGGCTACTTAAAGTAGTCATGATCTAAAGTGATTTCATAAGCAACTATCATCATGTATGCATGCTATGCCTGACTCATGAGACATGCTTTGAAATCAAAAGATGGACAGATCCAGTGCCGTGTAATTGCTTTGCTAGCTTAGGCTTGCCCCTTAATGCTCTACATTCTTCTAGTTAATGACAATTGTTTGTTTATATTATGTGTTAGGTAAGTATTTTCCTACTCCTGAAGTGGGTGTGGTTCCTGAGACTATTAAAGATCATGATGTAGTTCCACAAGGTAATAATTATTAATTAATTGATTGTGCATTCATTAATATCTATAGATAATACAAATACTGCCAATGAAACGAGCACTACACAATCTGGTATGTATTAAGCATTCATGTAGAGCCAAAATTGCTTAATTATCAATTTTTAATTCATAGTCACATCTAGTCCTTCTGATGGAGCAGCTGCTAGTAATTCATCTTTACAACCTTTATCACCTCAAAGTATATACACCTTTGACATACTACAGAATTAATGAAATGATACCTTTTACTGTAGCTGAAGTACATGTTCCTGTTTTAAAAAAGTTACGGGGGGACTTTAGGTCAATGAGAATGTCTTTTGGAAGAATGATTTACAAAGTTAAAAAGATTATTAAGCAAAAATCACCTCCTTTAGAAGAAATGAAGGAACTAATTTCTTGTTGTAGTACAGATCTTAGACAAAAAGCTGAGCAATGTACTGATGCTTCTGGTATTCTACGTCTAATTCAAAATGAGTGTTCACTGACTGATATTGCACTCCTTCATAGTGTAGTGGAAGAACTGAACATCACTGAAGCAGATGAACGTATTAAAGCGTATAAAACAGAGTTAAAGGAATTTTGTGAATCACTATCCATTACTCTTTGTTTGAAGGAAAGATTTGCTCCCATTCATCATCTTCAATGCCAGACAGGTACTTTTATCTTTGACTGGAAGCCTGAGGAGCATTTACTCAATGATATCAGTGAGCTTCTTGCAGAAGCATCTGGTAAGCTTTTGAAGATTAAATATATAGAGCCTTCAGAATCAATATGCGTCACTTGCTCCTTTCCCTTCTCTAATGTTGGGTTTACTGTATTGAGGATGATAGAGAATATTCATATACTAATGGGACAAGGATTAAAGAAACTGACTATTGGTAACTTAACATTATGGAGGAGACGAGATGTTAGACAAAAGGTACATAATATGAATAATTGAATATTGTTTTATGAATATTGTATTGTATAGGAACTAAAAGAAAAGGATCAAGACTTACTACAACACACTGAGGTCAGTTAATATAATCATTCCTTTTATTAGTTACATTATTGTACCTGTGCAATGTAACAATTGATCAGTTGATTTTTATGTGTTAATTATACATGTATGTGCAGGTTATTTCTTATATTATACTCGAAGAAGCTGAATATAAACTAAGAGATACTATCAGTAGCAAAGAGAAGGTATGTCATACTACCAGACTGTGCAATGTAATATTATTTGTATGTATAGGAGACTATTGAATTGAAGCAAGAAATGTCAATGGCTCAAGTAACTGAGGTAAGAAATTTAATCTAAAATTGATGTACTGTATTTTATTTAATGCTTTAATTATTAGGAGGAACCATTAACTGTTCAAAGTGACACTGAGTCAAATAAAGAAGTTGAGGTATATCTCACTAGTTTGCATTAATTATAATAATTATTAATAGGAAGAACCACTTTATGAAGAGTTGACTGTATTGAGGTCTCAGTTTAATGAGATACAAAAAGAAAACAAAGAATTGTCAGCCAAATTATCAAAAATGAAAGTTGAGTATTTGAGATCATTTACTAGTAATACTGATTCAGGTTAGAGTAGTTTTATTAATTATACTAATAATTATATAATTAATTAAAGCTGCTAGCAAATTTAGAAGAGAGATGTCTTTTGAAATTGATGACTGCAAATTTCATCTTAACGCAATGACAAGGCCAGACTATCAGCCATTAGTAGATAATAAAAGAATAATAGAGAAATTACAAGAAAGAATAACATTAATGAATATGGAACTATTGACTAAAAGAGAACACAATGATAAGATTATAAAAGATATTAAAGGTTTTATTGATGATGTGTGTCATCATTTGACTGTTGATATTTGGATAGATCATTGGAAAGAGATTGAGGAGAAAAGACAGAGAGAAAATAAACAAAAAATTGAAGAAGAAATATTTGAAGTAAGAGTGAGACAGTCAATATTATAGTATTCATCTACTTACTTTTATTTTCTATAGTTCTCATTATATTGTAATCATCCTGTTACCGGTGAATTAATGGAGTCATTACTTAAAGTTCATAATGATGAATTACTACCCAGTGTACTGGATAAAGCTTATGAGGTTTATTGATCTATTATGTGTATATCTGTTTATTCTTTCATTTTTGTTCATTTCTCCTTATCAGTTAATGGAATTAGCTCCTCATATTCCTATTGAGAGATGTCGTTTAGTTGAATATAATCATTGGTCTGAAGTAATGGATCAATCCTTTGATCTTGATGAGGTAATTGTTATCTATCCTATTGTTACAATTATCTTATTATTAAATTTAGTTTCAACATCAAACTATTGGACAGATTGTAGGTAGGACTGGATTTTATTGCTTATTCTTAGAAACTCATAAAGAAAATGAAACCTTTAAGAAATACAATTATGGAGGTAGGTGTGGTTTGTTACCATGACAACACATTTGATTACATGTACATGTGTTTGATGGTGTAGGTGTTAATCTAAAGGTATCAGTGGTTGATCTGTCAACTGGTGAAGTAGGACCAGCTAAACTAGTGAGAGGAGAGCTAGGTTGGACTGTTGAAGAATTAAAACAACATATAGGAGAAGTAAGAGGAAGGAAATTCTGTCATTTATATTGATGGAAATTCTGTCATTTATATATTGATTTCCTTCCATCATTTCTTTATTTAGGTATTTATTATCAAATCATCATGTATGAGAATAGTAAAGGAGGAGGAGAATTACTCGAGTAATACTTCAGTCCTTGATATTAGTGTTGTAATATGTATGACATATGTGTACATGTAATTAGTAGGTTGTGTATTTTGTGTTAATTAGTATTTACGTAAACATATGCTTTTAATTAATGTATGATCTCATGTTCCTATGGCCTTATGCCCTCTTTTGTGTCACGTACAATGAGCTGGACAGCTCTGTCCAGCTCATGAGGA